GGACAGTGGGTGGGGAGAGAGGGCAGAGGGTGGGGCGGGAACTGGGAGGAGGGGAGTTATGGGGGGAAAAAGAGGAACAAATGTAATAATCTGAACAATAAAGATTTAATTTTAAAAAAATTATTCTTTAGGTCCTGGTTGGGTAGCTCATTTATTTGGAGTGTTGTCCCGATTAGCCAAGGTTTTGGGTTTGATCCCATGTCTTCTCTCTCTCTCTCTCTCTCTCTCTTCTCTCCATTTCACATCTGTCCCACTTTTTAGCCTGCAGCAGCCAGCCTGAAGTATTGCTAGTCAGTGAACATAGGGAATGGCCTGGACAGAGTGGGCCTTGCTGGGCTCCTCCCAAAAGCCCTTGCTTTTCTGGACCTGGATACCTGTAGGCACAGCACCTGGTACCCCCTTTCTCCTGGCAGAGGTATAGAACTGCATTTCCCTTTCTGTTAGGTCTACTTTGGAACTGCAGAAGGAACTTGTCCTAGGAAAGTAAGGAAAATGACCCACAAAAGCAGACGAATGAATGATGGTCTCATTTGAGGAGGGCTTGGTTCCTGGAATCAAGGGGGCCATTCTTGCCTAGTCATGGACATAGGAAAAAGCCTTACTGCGGGACTTTATCTTTGGTGCCTGCCACATTTTATCCTCACTCACTGGCCCTACAGTCCCTCTCATGGTTATGGTGGTTATCAGGAATTGCCTTGGCAGTGGAATTAAACAGGCAATTTCCTGAACCTCTCCAGCTCCCAGAGTGAAATGTGGTAAGTGGCACCGTGAGCCTCTTCCTAGTGGCAGGACTCCAGGCTCAGAACCTGAGAATCTTCGTGGTAGGGAAGGATTGTGAGCCTGCATTCTGAACCGGCCCTGCCCAGTTCCTCCCCGGTCACCCCACCTGAGATGGCTCATCCCCCGTGGCTTTCTCCTCCACCACTCATTCATGTTGTTGGTCACAGCCGGTCCTCTGCTGGAGCATAAGGGGTCTTTTCCCAACCCAGTCCTCAGGCTTCCTCTCACCACCCAGGGGCAGCTCACTGAAGTTAGCCATGACCACAGTGCAAGCAGCAGGTAAGAGCCAACACTCAGCCAAGGAGGGAGGGCAGGGTGGGCCTGGCCAGAGGAGAGGATGACAACCTGAGAGGAGGAAAGGGACGGGGAGAAGAGAAGAGGGACCCTTGTGGCAGAGGTGGCTTCTCTTCTTCCTGAGGACCCTGGCCACTGCAGTCCTCCACGCCCCAGGCTTCATGAAGCACCACTTCACAGCCTTGGTTCCCTGCTTCCGTCAGGAGAGCTGAGTTCTGGGTGTTGATGCAAAATAGAATAATGGCCTAGAGAAGGAGACCAAGACCCCATGGGCCTGCAAGGGTCCTGTAAAAATCACCATCTGGGGGTGGTTCACACAAGTCCCTTACCCTAGGACAGTGATGGTGAACCTTTTGAGCTTGGCGTGTCAGCATTTTGAAAAACCCTAACTTAATTCTGGTGCCGTGTCACATATAGAAATTTTTATATTTGCAACCATAGTAAAACAAAGACATATTTTTGATATTTATTTTATATATTTAAATGCCATTTAACACAGAAAAATCAACCAAAAAAATGAGTTTGCATGTCACCTCTGACACGTGTGTCATAGGTTCGCCATCACTGCCCTGGGAAGTGACCTCTCCATCTCAACTTGGCAGTGGTCATTTGCTTGCCCCAACCAAAGAAGATGCCCGGTTGTCACCAAATTCAGTACTCCGTGAATGGTAACAAGTTCAAGTTTACCTTGGTTTCTCTCTGTCATCATAAATACTGGTGACAGGTTTCATAGGGAAATACCTCCTGTAAATCTGAGTAACTCCCCTTGACAGAGGGTAGAAAAGTTTCAGTTATGTCATTTCCTCTGAGTGATACTCTAATCTCAAAAAGCCACCGAATGAAATCCCAAAGAGTATTAGTCATCTTCATGGGCATCTTCCCTATATGCTGGGCACTCGAGATTTTTCAAAACCAGGAATGGCCTTATGAAATGATCCAGACCTATTGCTAGCCTGAGTAGGGGATGTACTTCACGGTCTATGGGCCAGAGCTCAGTTCTGGAGGTGGGAGACCTACGTTTGACTCCTCACTTACTAGCTTCTTCCTTGAAGTCCTATTTAGAAATGGGATTCTGTTGTTCCTGGAAGGCAATGAAGTAAAATTGCCTCCACATAGGAGACATTGTTACAATTTTGAAAGGGTATGGAAATCCTGGTGTAAGAAAGTGGGCTCATAGAGGTGAAGCTCAAGTCACACAAGGAGTTTGTAGAACAACTCAGATGGGAACCAGGTCATTCCAACCACAACCCACTTCCTCTTCGTGTCTTCTTCAACATCCAAATTTGGCTGAAATCTTCTTGCATTCCTCCTGCCTCCAACCTCAAAGTCTCAGAAGAGCACCTGTACTGTTACTCTGAATATGACAGATAAAAGGTGCTAAACTAAATTTGTGTGTGGTTGCCACAAACGTGTTGATGATCATGTTTGAGTCTCTTACTAGTCTGCATGTTAGTACATCTGTGAATACTGCAAGGCTTTTCAGGACTTTTGAGTACAGCTGTTTGGAAATTTATTCAGCTAGAAATTGCCTGTTCTAAATTTACTCTGTTCTTGTAAGAATTGCTAGAAAAAGTTGACTTACAGAGATGCTTTCTAGGTTTCATTGCACAAGTAAGTGTGGTCTATGGGGCAGAATTATAGTGAGGAATACCTCTTAGAGCAGGGGTGAGGAACGTCCAGCCCATGGATTGTAGAGGCCTATGAAATCATTTGGTCTGGCCCTGCAAAGGCATTAGGAGTGAGTTAATTAAACGGTTGACCAAATATAGCAGGCTGATTTTAAGTTGATAATTTGTATGACCCGAGAATGATGTTCTAAATATCCAAATGGCCCTTGGCAGAAAAAAGGTTCCCCACCCATGTCTTAGAGAATGCAGGGTGTAGTATGGATTTAAAAAAAATATTTATATTGATTTTTTTCAGAGAGGAAGGGAGAGGGATAGAGAGTTAGAAACATCGATGAGCGAGAAATATCAATCAGCTGCCTCCTGCACCACCCCCCACCAGGGATGTGCCCACAAACTAGGTACATGCCCTTGACCGGAATTGAACCAGGGACCCTTCAGTCCTCAGTCTGACATTCTATCCACTGAGCCAAACCAGTTAGGGCTGTAGTATGGATTTTAATACAGTAATATGTATATCACTTGTGATAAGATTTACCATGTGACTTGGCATGAAGTTGTATGTCATGTAAAAATGTTTGCACTTAATTTACAAAATATTTAGAAATACTTGCCTAGTAGAATTGTAAGGCTTACCATAGGCTTACTATAAAACTTAATACTCAGTGTTTGTCTAAGATAAACATTTAGCAAACATTCACCAAATATTTGTTGAGGGCCTTCTGTGAGCTGGGCACTTGTAATTGGTTACAGCCTTGGATTTTGAAATGAATTTGCTTCCTTTTTTTTGTTCGTTTCTTACCACAGTCCCAACCATGTGAGATCCTAGCTTAAATGTGCAAGAAGCTCATGTGATGGGTTATCAGTACTTCCCGAAACATGCCGGAAAGGTCTCACTTACTGTTTTGTTTTCCTCTGGCTCCTCTGCCCCACCAGTTCCCCTGCTGAGTGCTCCCAGCAAAAACATGTACACACAGCAGTTAAAACCATACATACTCACTTTTATGGAAATGGCAATACTAAAATTTGTTTTAATGTAGGCATGGTATAAAAGTAGATTCAGAGCAGAATTTCAGCTAACTGAAAAATATGCACGGAGGAAGGTATGTTCCAAATCTTCAATAGGAACAGATTTCTGTTAAAATTGGCAAACAGTGACTGGCTTTTCTTGTGCACTTTGCATGGAGGCAGTGCGCTGTGATTGTTAGGGTCCCGTGTGCTGGTTCTGGGATCTGAAGAGCCATCTTTCCTGGCTCTGAGTCCTCAAAAAGGTTAGGAAGCCTCTCTGCCTCGGTTTCCTCATCAAGCCATTGGGGGCCGTTGATGCCTCCTTACTTCATGGGATGGCCGGATGGTGAACTGAGATATAAAGTATGTTGCAGGAAAGGTTGCTCCTAGTCTCCGCAGTGTCACTGACCTCAGTCAGCTCTTACACTGCAGATCGTGGCTCTCTAGCCTGGTCAAGCACCCATCCTCCACGGTGACTTCACACCTTTCTCCTCTCTCCTCAAACCCCAACACTCCTCTCTGTCCTAGGTTTCAGCTGCCGACCTGCTTCCTGTTTCATATAGAAAACAAGCAATCAGATGAAAGCAGCCCCTCCTTCCAGCTGCCCACCTGCACGAGTGCCCACGTGCTCTACCTTCTCCCCCCGTCCTGTGGGTGACTGCCCCCTGGGGCACTAGATTCCATCCCCTTATGCCACCTCCTTCCCTCTTCCAGATTAGATTGTTCCCACTAACTTATCAACATACTATTACTTTCCCTCCCATTAAAACAAACCAGCAAACACACAAAAGCTCGTCCTCCTGGCCTCCTCATGGCTCTGCCCACCTCAACTTACCCACTCTGATACCCCTGTAAAATCACAGGCCTCTACATCTCCTTGTCCACCTCACTTTGCCCATGACTCTGCTCATTTTACGCCTCCCCCCACCCCCCCACCCCCGCGCACAGCGCTTACCACTTTCCAACACTACCCCTACCCCATTAGAGTGTGGACTCCACAAGGTAGACTAGCACCCGTTTTATTGCATCCTGGGCAAAGTATGTGCTCCAAAATATTTGTCAAGTGGGTGGACAGCTGTTAGCCACTGAGATAGTCTTAGGCCTTTTATCATAGGATAATGCTTCACAGACACCTTCCTGCCTGTGCCCTCCTTTGGTTAGGCATCACTTCAGGATTTGCATGCACCAGTGTGAGCTGGCCTCCTTACCCCTCCCTGTGCAGTCCGCTTCTTCTGATCCACATCCAGACTCTAGCACCACTGTCACCTGAGCTGGAAACCTGAGTATCCTGTCTTCCACATCCACCCAGGAGATAATCAAATCTTAATAGGCTCTTAATCTCTTTCACACCTCTCTCCTCCTCTCCTCTCCACCGCTGCCCCTTCCTCCTTGACCCCACTGCTCCTTTACTCTTTACACTGCTGCCAAAGTCATTGTTCTAATATGCAGATCTGATGCTCCCTCTCCCTGTTTAAACTGTGCAGTTCTGCTATAAGCTCTTACAGGATGCCATCCCACCTCCAATATCTGGGCCCACCTTCCCTCCCCGAAGCCTCACCCTTGCCTCCTGGAGATCCTCCCTGGACTCCAGCCACACCAAGTGACTCAGTCGTGGTAGGTAGTGGGCTGTGGCCCGCTCTTTGGGACTACAGTTCACTCTGCCTGGAATGCTTGTCCCCTGGTCCTGCCAAATCACCGCTGGCTTTCCAGGTGGGGCTTCCTCTTCACTCTCAGGCACTCAGGGCTCCCGGGCACCGGTAACCCTCTCACTGCACTGCTGTTGTGAATTTATTGTCTGGCTCCTTACCAGGCTGTTCCTTTTTTGGTTCCCTGTCAGTCCACCTTGCAGGTGGAACCTGGGATAACGTGCCACACTCAGTTTGTTGGATGAATGAAGGAGAGGGGCCTGCTTTGAGTCTGGGCAGCCTTCGTCAAAATGATGTGGGGAAATCTCCAAGCCACACAGTACCATTCACTAATGCAGTGCCCCCAGGATTTCCGAGTTGGGGCACTTCTGAGAGGAAGTCAATTTTTGGAAGAGAAGGGAGTCAGAAGCTACATATTTTGTGGAGTTTGATTAGCAAACATAGGCCTGTGAGGAAAGGAAAATTAACCATGAAATTGAAGGGACAGCTGCCAACTTATATTTAGTCCAACAGGGAAAGACATCACTGAGCTAGCTGATGCTGCTCATTAGCAATTTGCAAGGCAGGGATGGACAGGGGCCCCATTGGGTGTCCACAGCTTCCAGGTGTTAGGACGTCTGAATTGAGCCCACTTCTCCTCAATAGTTGATGAGGCATGGTATGGGGTTGCACCCGTTTTTGCTAGAAGGGGCTTTCACTTTCAGCTGTTTTAATCCTATGGTTCATTTCTCACAGCTGCTCTGAGGAGCCCAGGGCCATGCCACTCCAGGACAGGACCTTGCCTGACCCACTCAGCCAGTCTCCGTTCTTGACCTGGCTCTCCCCCTAATGCTAGCCCAGGGCCTTACCTGGCCTGCCCCTCATTCCAACCCCACAGGATTGGCAGGATGATGGGAATGGGCTTTGAGGAGCTATAGCTGTGATAAATATGATGATGTTGATCCTGAGAAGAATATACCTGCCGAAAAGGACTCCTCATAGTTAATTAGGCTCAAATTAATAACCAGAGTCTAGGGGCCATTGTTTACATAGGTCCTTCATGTACACTACATTTCAGGGAAAACCTATAGACTAAGCTGTCAGGTTTTCTGCAGTGTCTTTTAGCTGAGCTGACTCTTATGAGAGCTCCGAGGATCAAAATTGGACCAATGGGACTGAGACTTTCCCCATCCAATCAGGCTGCACAACTATATCCTCATTAGCATTTTCACTGAACCATTAGAGCAACTCCATTCCAACCAATCAGGACAGTGGTCTTTAGACCAACCGGTGAGAATTTGGAGTCCTTATTTGCATGAAAGTGGGCCAATCAGGGATCAGCAGTGGATACTTCTTTCTATATAAGTCTGCTTTGAGACTGCACACTTTCAGTTTACACCAAAGACATACTTGGGTGGCTGGAGTTACCGCAACAGTGGAGCTGTAGGGTTGTTTACTGTTGGGTTGAATTGGCTATAACAAGCGACCTTCAGTTGACATTGGTGCGTTATGAGCAATTGAAGATCAGGCAGGGAACTGCAGTTGTCCCTGACCTAAGTCAAAATTCAGGCCACATGAAAAAGTATGGGAGGTTCTGAGGAGCTACAAATGTGAGGGGCCTCAAGCTTGCAGAGCTTTCTTTTCTTTTTTTTGTTAATCCTTACCTGAGGATATCCGCCCCCCGCCCCCCCCCATTGATGTTTAAAGAGAGTGGAAGTGAGGGAGGGAAGGGGGTGAGGGTGGGAGTGAAGGGGGTGAGGGGGGGAGAGAGAGAAAGAGAGAGAGAGAGAGAGAGAGAGAGAGATGAGAGAGGCACATGGATTGGTTGCCTCCTGCACTGACCAGGCCTGTGGGGGGGGGGGCGATCTAACCACTGAGCACACTGTTCGGGGCTGCAGATCTCTCTTTTTGAAGTTTTGTTACAAACCCGTTAAGCATTAGGTTTGACAACAAAAATGCTTCACTGAGGGAGCCTGACAGTGATCTCGGTCAAGTCTAGGTCACTTCCTCTCTGCTGAGCCTCAGTCTCTGGACTGTAAATTAGGAATAAATGCTTCCTGAGTTACTGTGAAAGTTAGCAAAACCGAGAAACAATGATTGGACAGTGCCTGTCACACAGTAGGTGCTAGTATTTTTGTCCCCATGGGGGAGATATTTGTAATCAGTGCTATAAATCACATGATTTGATTTGTCAAGAAAACCCCAGCCGAGGCCGGGTTCACACGCACTCCCTGCTTTTTCCTGTAGGAGTTGACGCTTCCACTGACCCTGACTACATCCTGATGGGGATCCAGAGTCGCTCAGAATGCGGAGCCCTGGTGGTGACATCCAGTGGGTGGCCCGGGAACTCGCGCTGCCAGGCCCTCCTCTAAGCCATCCCAGCCCCGTGGTGGGTGGTCTTGGGTCCTAGGACTCCCCGCCGGCAAGGAGTCTCCGTGTCCTTGGAGATGGGTGACCGGCCCTAACGCTGGGCTGGGGGTCCAAGGGCCACGACTCTCAGTGGCGTCTGCGGCTGGGGGGTGGGGTGTGTGTGTGGGTGGTGCGCGCGCGCTCCTTGAGATGGGAGATCTGGGAGCAGCGGGTGCCAGGCAGGAAGACCGGGCAGAAAGGCGCCTAGGGTTACCGCCAACAGGTGGCTAGCGGGGCGGCCCCTTTAAGACGCCGTTCAGCTCCGCCCCGCGCCGCCCCCCCGCCGGGAGCCCTGCCAGGT